GGCTGGGGGCCGAGGGGCCCGCCTAACTCCACTGGAGTCGGATTAATGACGAATCGTCTTATCACCGCCTCTGTCAATAAGTTTGAGCGTGGCGCGGCCGGGCGCGGGAGAGAGGACCCCGTCTAATGAATGCCGCCGTTCACAACGCTTAAAAGTGATTACTTGGCTGCCAAACACTCGCGCCCCCGCCCAAAAGAAGAATGTTTCAGCGAGGACCCCGCAGGAGGGCGCACCCACACAGCACCGCCGGCAGATACGGTGTGATGAGAACACGCCACGGAACAAACTCAACGCAGCAGTCCCCATAGGGGCTTCCTTTTTCAGATATTGGCACCTGAAACGGGGAGCCGCATACGTAGTTTCTACGATGCAAATTGTGGTGCAATCAGCCACAGGAACCAAAATACTTTTCACTATGATACATTATTCGCTTTTTATTGGCAATATATGCAGTACGACCACCCTTTTTTTCGCACTGCAGATCGCACAGGTCGAGTACGTATTTGATGCGCACCCCTTTCTCGCGGACGAGTCTCGGGTTCCGCCTCGGCATTCCTCTCGCGTCCCTGGCCAAGGAGGCGCGCGCGCTGCCGCCGCTCTCCGCTCTCCTTTCCAGCCGCTCTGCTCCCGTTTAATAATAAGCGCCTTCTCTTTGAACAAAACGCCTCCTGATTCCCCTCGGCTCTCCTCGCCCGGGCTCGGCTCTCCGGCAATAAGGAGCGGGTGGACAAGAGCGCGCGCCGCCCGCTGGAGAGGTTCCTGACCTGGAATGCGTGCTGAACGCACTCCAGTGGCCCCCGCCCCGCCCGGGCCGCGTCATGCACAGCCCGTCCTGCACATAATATGAAAGTTCCCGCGCCACCCCGCCCCCACAACCCCCCGCGCTCACGACTACTTCATGAGGACGGCGCTTTGCCGCGGAGACAGAATGGACCTGGTACAGCAGAAGCGCGCTTTGCTCCACAAGCAGGAGGAGAAACTCTCACTCGGAACAGCGTTCCACGTCTAATCGCCGCTCTTTACCATAATCTCGAGATATTTATTGCTTCCCAAATGCGTCGCGCAGCGCGCGCGCCTCGCGCTCCCTGGCAAGCGTCCATAGGGAAATCCATCGGCGGCGCGGCCGGCAAGGGCGGCGCGGCGCGGGCCGAGGGATCGCGCCGCATTGAAAATTCCACTCAATAAAGATGTTGTTGGAGCAGCGGCGGCGGCGGGGGAGGTGAGGGCGGGGGAGGCTCGATAACGCTAGCGGAGCTCCGCGGGGAGGGGAATCATATTCACTTCCGCCGAGTCCGACACAGTCCTGACGCATGCCCGGCGCGCCCCCACTTCTGTAGGGATGAAACGGAGGAGGAGAAGAATCCGAGAATCACTTGACGCTAAAAATGTTTTGTAATAGGGGACATTTATGCTCTTGTACACCAATTTAACGATTATTTTAATTTGGTAGGTCTACTCATGGGTAGGTCTAACAGACTCTGACTGACTGCACCGGCAAGGGCCTAGCTGAAAACAAAGGGGAGGGGTTGCCGTGCAACGGCTAGTACTGTGGTTAATTTTAAGCTCTTAGATTTGCAAGAGCGTTTTGCTCGGTTTTGCCTTGCGAGTGTAGATTATATAATTGGCTGGCACATGAAACAAAATTCTGATTTAGAAATTTTCCAATTTTAAGATCGCAGAGTGAACACAGCCCTTTTCTGTTTAGACCGACGGAGTCTCCACAATTTGGTCTGGTTAAAGTTTGCGCAAGAAAGAAAATTAGTCCGTGACCTGCTGGAGCCCGCCGGGGCCGGAGGGCCGGAGTGTCGGGGATGGCTATAGATGCTTGAATGAAGAGGAGACCGCCAGGCGCACCGCTCCTATTCGCCTAAAAGAAAGCCAAGCTCTCGGCTGTGACCGGCCGCCCGCCTGGGGATCTGGACCAAATCCCCTCCGCATTGAGATGAGGCGTCGCCACCGGGCGCTCCGCCCTGGCCTGCCCCGCCCGTGGCTCGTTTCGAAGCGGTTCGGGGCGGCTTGGCGTCTCGACGCCGGTGAAAAGGAACGCGCAAACCACTCGCACACTTCAACAAGGAGTTTAATTAAGGACGAGTTTCGAGATTTATTCGCAAGCACCTTCTACCTCCTTTGCTTCCCCACTGCCCCTTTTTTCCTGCCTTCATCCAATTTTTTTTATTCGCTTTACATTTTGCTTCGACGCGCGAACAAGCCAGGGAGAAACCTCCCTTCACTCCATCGCGACTTTTGGAGAAAAAGGGGAAGGGGAGGAAAAAACCCTCTCTCTCTCTCTCCGACTGTCGGTTTCGCACCGGCATTATGTGGGACTCTTTTCACATCTACATTCAGTTGTGTGCTTTTATGCCCCATCAGAAGCATGGCGCTGCTTGGCTCGGAAGATTTTCCCAGTGCGATAAAAAAAGGATCTCGACTCTCAAAGGGAAAATGGTTGACAATGCCCACCGAAACGAAAACGGGCTACTCGTCTGAGTTTCTGACGCACACTCGGCCCGAACACATGGATGAGTCGGGGTGAGCCGCTCGAGAGCTTCGGAAGCGCCGCGCGTTTTATTCGATAGGTGTAAGGAAAGCACTGAAAGTCGCTGAAATGGAAAATTATTGCGTTTTTGAATCGCCTTCCTTCCACGCAGAGTCAAAATTATATTGTTTTCGCCTTTATATACTAAGTAAAAGAGCTGAATCGACTAGTTTCATTTATGATGATTTAAGAGTATTTAAAAAAGTTTTAGAAAACTGCAAAGTCATTTTTATCACTTTCAACGCTTTCCTTACTACTACTGACAAAAAGTGTCACAGCGTTTCTGCAAACTGTGCCTACGTTTTAATCAATTCCTGTTCCCGCGGTGCTCCTTACACTCCGCTTTCGCCGCCTCTTACGCGGCCCAACGCAGGGCCCTCGATGACAGTAAGTACACCCGCCGCCACTGGCGTGGACGTCAAAGAGGGACGGCACGGCAGGACGCGGCCCCCGGGGGGGCTGCGGGACCCGCCCGCCGCGCACCGCCACATCTCAAATTAAACGATGACGGATCAAACGACTCCAGTCGCCCAGGAGCACCCCCGCCCTCCCCCCTGCGCCTCTTCCGGCGCTGCCAATGTCGAGCTTCCTCCCCTTTGCCCCGCCCCTACTCACGCCAGCACACATCGCGGCCCCGACGACAGCCC